ACTTGAGTCCAAGGAGGAGGAACGGCAGCCTCCTGGGGTGAGAACAGGAACGGCGAATTCAGTAGTTGAAGGTTCGTATCGTGGACTTTTTAGACGTTACTAGGGGCAACATGCGTTATGCATAACGGGTTGAAATGGTCCTTTACTCTAATGACGCGGGCGAGGTGCACTATGGGATTGATGAAAGTAGAAGATGAGCCAATGATAAAAAAGAAGGAGGTTTAGCACACAACTTAGTTAAGAAAAAGGTATTTACACCTTTTTAAAAACAAAAATGTGTGAAAACATGTGTGGTTATGCGAGAAAAGGATGATTTTCTKGAYTAAHARGGCGAGCGCGCGCWBGCGACTTGAAAAACCGACTTGAAAACAATGCGCGCTCGCGTCATTTTCAGCCAGTCAGAAATCGAGACATAACGCATTCCTCCAGAGTCTCTCACGCATTGWCATCCGCTGGATGGCAAAAGTGTAGGCTCTGGGTACGAGATTGAAGCTGAGCCATGTCGTTTTTTGTTCGCGTTTATGACGCCTCAAGCTGTTTTTCGAACAACGAGCATTTAACCGTTCAAAGACAAATCTTTTGTAATTCTCTAGTATGTAATTCTCTTTCAACGATTCTCGATTTCCAATATATATCGTACATTTTTCGAAGAAACTTCATCCTTCCAAGCCTTTGTAAGACATGCACCATGTTGATACTTTCATCAATACCATGATGCATCTCGCGAAACACGAATGACGTCATGAAGTAAGACGGCGATTAATGCTCTGTTTCTGGATTTTGCCTATCTAACGTAGCTAATGACGTTCTAGTTTTTTTGTTTTTCTTTACTTGTTTSACCTGATGGAAGCTCCTGAAATAAGGCTGGAGAAATCTCATTAATGTTAGAGTGCTGAATACAATTGCGCTGGCAAATGAAATTTTTGATTCTGTTTTTTTTTCGTAGAGCTTGTGTTGAATGCCTTACTTGAAGGCTTAACCTCAAAGTTAGTAGACGGACATGGCGTAGAGCAACTCGTCCTGGCTTCAACTCTAGGTGATCTTGACAAAGTAAAAGAAATCATTCAGGGTGATAAGAGTTTGGTAAGAACCTTTACTAGTACCAAGGCTCATAAAAATTAGTCACCTTCACGGTTCCCTGCGCCATCTTCAAAATTAGCCTTGCCTAGACCACCGTTTAGCGTTCAATGATAGATACCTGTGAATAAATTGTCTGTGGGTGTGCAAGAGGGTTTCTACCGTTGCACGCTCAAAGGTCGTCTTCCTTCGATGCAAAGGCACGGCTACGTTTGAAGATGTCGCAGGGAACTGTAAAGGAGACTATTGCGTACCAAATGGGAACTACTATCAATTTTTCCCGTCTGCTCTTTTTCGATTGGCAGA